GATATACATAAAATTCTATGTGAAGTTACCAAGGGCATTCTTTGCTGGTAGATTACTCTCTTCACACAAGAAAATCTATTAGTTATAAATAAAATTATTGTTTCTACTGCACCAATTTTGCCCAGCCATTTTCTACAAAACTAGTTCAAGATTCATTTCCTAGGAAACACCATCTCTGATGTTCCCTCCAAGAATAAGCTCTTCCTCAATTCATGCCCCTTCATTGCCTACATAATTTACCCATACTCCATCAAGCAAGGAATCACGGAATTTCAAAGCTGGAAGGGATTTTTCCCTGGAAGTCACCCAAGGTACCTCCCTAACCCCACATTTCCTTTACAACATTCCAAAAATGGAAGCATGAGGTCTTCATCTAAAGAATTCTAGCAATGGGGAAGGAACTCAATAGTCCTGAAAGTAGCCCACGAAGAGATGGCTCCAACTGCTGAAAAGTTTTATATTGTGATTAAACCCATCTCTTCGCAATTCCTCCAATTTGTTTGGGATTAGCAAAACTTTCCACGGTAACGTTTTTTAAAGTCTAATTTTTTTTTCTGTATCACAGCACAACAAATATTTAAAGATAGTATCATGGGCTTTCCTCCTTAGAAATTTTCTTTAAGTCTAGAGCTACTCTTCTGATAAGACATGATTTCAAATCCCTACACCCTGCTGGACAATTTCTTCCAAACCACAATTGGTCTGTCATATAACACAATTACCAGAACAAAACACAATACTTCAATTTCTCAAAAAATTAAAAATAGAAGTACCATGCGATCCAGCTATCCCACTACTGGGTATTTATCCAAAGAACTTGAAGTCAGCAACTTAAAGAGATTTATGTATCCTTATGTTTACCACAACACTATTCACAATATCCAAGACATGGAAGCAACCCAAGTGCCCATCAACTGATGAATGGATAAAGAAGATGTGGTATATATACACAATGGAATACTACTCAGCCATAAAAAAGACAAAATAGTGCCATTTGCAACAACATGAATGGACCTTGAGGGTATTATGTTAAGCAAAATAAGTCAGACAGGGAAAGACAAACACCATATGATTTCACTCTACGTTAAGATAAACAAACACATGGATAAGGAGAACAGATTAATGGTTACCAGAGGGGAAGGGGGTGGGGGCAGGGTAAAAGGGGTAAAGGGGCACATATGTATGGTGATGGATAAAAACTAGACCATTGGGTGTGAGCACGATGCAGTCTATACAGAAACTGATATATGACAATGTACACCTGAAATTACACAATGTTATAAACCAATATGACCTCAATAAAATAATAAAATAAAATACAATACGATACTCCAACAGAGATCTGGCAAATACCTAGAAAAGAGGAACTATCAGCTTCATCAGTCTAGAGGTGTGATTTCTATTAAGGCTGCTTAAGATTGCAATTGCCTTTGGGGGCAGCCACTTTTAATTGTTATGCATCCACAGTTAACAAAAACCATATTTCTTTTCCACATGTGCTACTGTTAAGCCCTGTCAAATTTATCGTGAATGGATGGAGTTGTTTTTCTACTTAATGCAAGGTTTGCCATTTATCTCTATTAAATTATACCTAATGAAATTTCACCCGTTGCTTCAATTTGTCATCAAACATTCACTCTCCCTCCAGTTTCTTATTATTGGTACACCAAAAATGCATGCTATCAACATTATAATCTAAGCCCTTGAACCAACATAGGCTGGGTCAAGACCAAAGACAGAGTCCTCCTGACCTGCTACCAGAGACTTCTCCTGAGGCCAACAGTGATCATTTGACTGGTTATAAATCCACCAATTTAAAAAAGATATCGCATGGGCCTTCATAAAATGCTTTATGGAATCCAAATATATTATGTCTATAACATTTCCCTGATCTAACAATCTTGTTGCTCTTTCTGAAAAGAAAATGAGACGTATGAAACGATTTTTTCTAAATGATTCCTTACCAGTTTCCAGTGATTACTACTTCTTGCTAAATGCTGATAAAATAAACTTAAAATGCCATAATCTAGAAAACTACCCAAGATCAATGTCAAAACCACTGGTTTACAGGTTATAAACTATATTTTTCTCTCCTTTCCCTTTTTAGAATTTGGTACTACATTTTGCACCCCTTCTGTCTTCTGCTTCTGTTCCTATTTTTTAAAGCTCAACAGTAGTTAAATAAATCCCATCTGCAAATTCTCTGAGTACCCTGAGGTATCATTTTTCTGCATTGACAGACAAACTCATTTAGAGCAGGCTCCTATTTGAATATCTGTTTCCTCTTACCAATATTTATTTTGCTCTTTTCACATTGAAAATCATTCTCCTCGACCAAAAAGAAAAGAAAGAAAAACAAATTGGTATTAAACTGTGAGTGGAAAAGTTCTCCCTTTTCTCCAGTATTCAAGAATATGGTGCCAGTCACCTTAAGCAATGATCTAGGTTAGGCCTTACTTGCATTCTTTTCAATTTTTAAGCTATTTTGGTGTTCTTGGCATTTTTTCCAACACTCAGCCCATTCCTGATACTATTTGTGTGCCTCCATGTTATTCCTGGATATCCTTTCATTGTTGAGCACTTATCTTGCATCTATTTTAAATTTGTTGTTTATCAATTTGCTTTGTTCAGAGTGGCTCCATTTCTTCACTAGCTTCCCTTTTTCCCTCTTCATTGGAACTGATTTTGAAAGAATTTCTTTTGGTGAGACTCTTTCAATCTACTTAGGCGGTCTTCTCTTTCAAGTCTCTCAATGAAATGTATGTTTTGTCTGAAGGTTATAAAATCTACCTTATCAAATACTCTGGCAACATTGCCCTAAATACATCCTAAGCAGTACTAGTCTCCCTCCTCTCCAGCCCTTCCAGAAAGTGAGAGTTGGCTCTGTCTCTGAATAAGTTCCCTTTTGGAAACTCACAATTCACATAAGCATTTTGAAGGTGCCAAATTATCTGCACAAAAAGAAAATTGTTTCATTTGTTTAACTCAGGATTTCCCAAACTCTTTTGACCATGTAGTCTTCTTTTGATGTGGCACACAATTTGGCAATGTCCCCTTCTCTAAATGTCTCCACCAACTCCTCTCAACCCCCAACTCCCCTAGACAACGCCTTCTCCCCTAATCTGTTCTTCTAAGTTGATTGGATTTGGTCTTGAGTTCTCTAAATCTTTCTCTAAATTTTTAAAATACATATACATTTCTAAGGTATATACGAGTTGTAACCACTCAATTAGATTTCAAGATCCTTGAAACTATGAGCCATTTATTATTCCTCGAAAATATTTGGTATAATGCTCAGTATACAAGTCACTCATTAAGTATTGACTGGTAAAAACACACACAATTCATCTACAGAGAGTTATTTATCACCTTGTTCCTCTTTCACTTTTGCAAGTTAAATAATCCCAGTGCTTTTAACCTTTTCTCAGAAGTCCAGCTTTCTAACCTTTAATTCTTTTTCCCCCCTCCTTTGTTCTCTCTAGACTGTCCACAGTGCTCATTAATACTCCTATATCTCAGATACTGAGTAACAACTTTAGGTCTTTTATTTCTGTTACTTTGTTGAGGGGGATGGAAGAATATTTCTGAGTACATAAATCTGCTCATAAAATTTGAATGCAAGTTAAATCTAGTTTCCTCGGGAGGGCCGAACACAAGCAGTTTACAAAATTTTCTTTCTCCTTCTTACCTCCTACAGCCTGAATTCCTGGCACAAAATATCTTCCTGCATATTCAAATTACTTCAACCATAATTTTTACAGGAACACATTATCCCCAGTCCTTGTATATGGTAAAAATGATTGGCAGTAGCGCAGGAGTAAGCTTCCTTCTTGGGTTGCCTCTGTATATAGCTTTAGTTGATCAAACCAAAACTCAAACCTGGAAGAGCTGTAGACCAGATATGCCAATGCAGAGCACACAGGGCAGGGTGGGGAAAGCATATGCTCTGCGATCAGAATACCTGGTTTCAATTCTAGCTGCACAATTTATTAGCTGGATGAACTCTGACTGGGACTTACTCCCTGAGCCTGTTTCCTCAACTATAAAATGGGGGTAAAGGTTATGCTTGACAGAGTTGTGCTCATGATTAAGGAACTCTTGTCAACCAGTGATTTCCACCATCAGTATAGCACATACACTGCATTAAAATTACTAGAGGAGATTTTTTTTTTTTATAATTTTATTTATTTTTTCCCCCAAAGCCCCAGTAGATAGTTGTATGTCATAGCTGCACATCCCTCTAGCTGCTGTATGTGGGACGCTGCCTCAGCATGGCTGGAGAAGCAGTGCGTCGGCGCGGGCCTGGGATCCGAACCCAGGTCGCCAGTAGCGGAGCGCGCACACTTAACCGCTAAGCCACGGGGCCAGCCACTAGATGAGAATTTTTTAAATGGAGGGCCATGGTTTCACCCCTGAAGACTCTGACTCTGATAGTCTAAAGTTAAGCCTTGAAATCGGACCTTTTTCTCAACATTTCCCAGGTGACTGTGATATGATATTCCCGTCTTTGGGAATCTACACCAGAATGAGAATGCTTTAAGGACAGGACCTATGCCCAATCCTTCCTTACAGCCTCAGCATATGACATACATGCTCAATAATGTTCATTCACTCATTCAACAGACATTTATTTAGGGCCTACTATATGCCAGGCATTGAGGGAACAGAAATAAAACAGATCACGTCCTCTCCTTTGGGAAGCTTATTTCCTGGAGAAGAGACAGACAAGAAATAACAAACAACTAAATACATGGTATGTCAAATGCGAATAGATGCTAAAGAGAAAAATAAAGTAGAGAAAGGGGTAGAAAATGCCATTCGGATTGGTGGAGGGGGGAAGTTGCTCTTTTATTCAGCCCAGTTAAGGAAGGCCTCTCTAGAGTAGAGACTAGTTGGAAGTAAGGGAGTCAGCCATGAGGATACTTAGGAAAAACATTCCAGGCAGACAGATCAGCAGGGCTTGAATAAGGAAAAGCGAGTTGATCTACAGTTTGGACGGGAGTGAATGAAAGGTAAGAAAGATGGGGGGATCACAGAAGTGGTGGCCAAACAACCGAGGGCCTTGTAAGCCACTGTAATGACTTCAGCTTTACTCTGAGTAGAAGAGAGGGTGTTTTAGCAAAGGAACTGTTAAGTACTAGTCCTCATCTTACTATACCTATCAGCAGCATTTGATGCGGTAGATTACTTTCCTCTTCTTGAAATACTTTCTTTCTAACCTTCTGAGTCACAACTCTCTCTTAAGTCTTCTCACGCCTTCTCCAATCTCACTATCTATTACTTTCTCTTTCTCATTGATTCTTCCTTATCTCCCCAACTTCTAAACTTTGGTGTGCTCCAGGCTCAGTTTCTGGACCATCTGCCATTGTCTAACTACATGAACTCCCTATATGATCTCATCCAGTCTATGGCTTAAATACCAACTCAAATTTATATATCCACTTCAGACCTCTTCTCTGAATTTCACATTGACATATTCAGTGATGTGCCTTACTCTTAATAGAATCACTGAAATTGCTAAAGCAGGGACACCAGTTTGGGGGAGGGAAGTTATAATAATAACCCATTTAAGAGATGCTGGTAGACTGAATTAGGGTGACAGTAGTTGAATGTGTTAAGAAAGGGTTGAATTCAAGCCATTATTTGAAGATAAATATAAGGTCTGCTGATGTATTTAGATCAACTATGATACTATGGTTTAGGTCTAAGCAACCAAAGAGTAGAATAGCTATTTATGACATGGAGAGGTTGGTAGTAGTAGTAGTTTGGGGGAGGTAAGAGGAGATCCAAGAGAGATGGTGCTATGGACTGAATTGTGTCTCCCAAAATTCATATGTTGAAGCCCTAACCTCCAATGTTATAGTTTCTGGAGATGGATGCTTTGGAAGGTAACTAGGTTTAGGTGAATCTTGATGGGATTAGTGCCCTCATAGGAAAAGACTAGAGAGCTTTCTCTTTCTCTCTCTTTATCTCTCCTCCAGCAGGCAGCTGTCTGAAACCCAGGAGGAAGGTTTTCACCAGAACCCAACCATGCTGGCACCCTGGTCTCAGATTTCTAGCCTCCGGAATTGTGAAAAATAAATGTCTGTTGTTTAAGCCGCCGGGTCTGTGATATTCTGTTATAGCAGCCCGAGTAGACTAAGACAAGTGGTGTTCCAGAAAGTATTTCAAGAAGGAGGGAGGAATCAACTATGTCAATGCTGCTACTTGATTGGGTAAAAAGAGGACTGAGAGTTGACAGGTATATTGAACAACATGGAGGTTATTGGTGAGAGCTTGACCAGAGCTACTACAGCAAAGAGGCAGCGAAAGAGCCTAAATGGAATGGGTTCAAGAAAGACTAGGGGGAAAGGAACTGAATCAATGAATACAGAAAGTATTTTTTGAATAAATACATGAAAATGCTTTTGCATATCACAATAGTTTGGTTTAATTAAAAATCATGAAGACCTTGTGTTCATTACAACAAGATGTATATGTGGGCATCTGAGCATCACTGGCTTTCTTTTTTTAATTTGGATATAAATATAAAATTTCAAATGACACAAATCAATAAGCATTTGGTGGTCAGGCAGTAAACCACTGTTTCCTACCAAAGGCAAATTTGCAGGAGTGTGAATTTCACCGTAGAATATATTCTAAGAGGGTTTTCAATGAAAACCAGAAAAAGTTCTACCACAATCATTATCATCTTGCTTTTTCAGGAATTATGACCACGAATTTGAGAGCATTTTCCTACAAGGGATTTTCCAGAAACAACCAACACATTCTGGTACAAGAATATCTTTCCAGTTTCCTAAATGCTAGCAATATTAAAAACACACACATACAAAAATTGGCAAGAAATCTAAAGTCACTATCAAAAACTATGCCTCTACTAACTAAAACCAGCTTCTACTAACAGATCAGGACATTATATGTTTATAATGGGAACTGTGGTTTTAAAGACTTATATATACCTGTTTCTTATACTCATCCCAATTCAGTTCTCTGCCCATCAGTTCAACAATCCTGGGGAGGGCTTCCTCTGCTGCCTGGACATTCAGAAAGGCCAGGCGAGTGCGACGTGAAATCATATCCACTGCCGTGCAGGCGTACTCCTTAATTCCATATTTCACCTGAGTTTGAATTAAAGTAAAATTATGACTTTAGGTTTTTTTAAAAAAGAGGAAATAGAGTTTCACTTAAAAAAATTCACGATTAGGAAAACTGACATTTTTCTTTACACATTCTGGTTCTCTAGCACGCATGAGACAAATAGTGACATCGCACAAGTTCCCCACCTGCCTGCAAAAGGAGGTTTGGAAGTTGCGACAAATTGGACAAGAGTTAATGCCTTCTTCCTGAGTAGAATCTGGCACAAACATGCAAATCGCATCACTTCTCATTTACCACCCAAAGTAATCACTTACCTCTTTACTTATACATAATATGGATGTTAATTTACATAGCTGAGTAGGCAAAGAACAAGTATTAAAAGGTTATGGTCTCATCGCTTTAGGCTCCCCAAAGTTTTCTGTCTCAGAGTTACCAGAAGACAGAAGTCCTGCATTCAATCAACAAGCAAATGCTTACTGGACGCCCATGATTTAAGGTGAAGTGAATTATAAATAAATATAAAGCATGGCCTCTAGCTTCATAAAATATGAAACCTTGCTGGGAAACAAAGCTTAAATCTTTGAGATGTTAAGTGTCAAAGCAAGATGTTATCAGGCAGCACATGAGTGGTACAAACTTGAAGAACTACAAGTTCACAAAAGGGGCAAACAACGTGAATTAACAAGACTCGGGATAGCTCCGTGGAGGAGAAAAAAATCCACATATTCTTTTATTGTTGCTACCACTATCAATATCACTTCAGAATTAAAATTAAAATTTTGTAAATGAGGGTCGGCCCTCATTAACCCACTTAGTGGTTAAGTGCGCGCGCTCGGCTACTGGACGCCCAGGTTCAGATCCTGGGCGCGCACCGACGCACAGCTTCTCCAGCCCTGCTGAGGCCGCATCCCACATACGACTAGAAGGATGTGCAACTATGACATACAACTATCTACTGGGGCTTTGGGGGAAAAAAGGAGGAGGATTGGCAATAGATGTTAGCTCAGAGTCGGTCTTCCTCAGCAAAAAGAGGGGGATTAGCATGGACGTTAGCTCAGGGCTGATCTTCCCCACAAAAAAAAATAATAATAAAATTTTGTAAATGAAAGGATTTGTGCTGGGCAGGCATTTTTTCCCAGGTTTTAGCGGACATACTTTCACTAAAACTTAGCTATATGTAATTTTTAAAGATGGAAAATGAACAGATGAATGGAATCCCATGGCAGACAGGAAATTCCCACGTGGCCATCCACATACCTCTGCTTCAATGTATGGAAATTCTGACACAAGACGCACTCCAACAATGGGCCACCTTTTTCCGGTCACACTTGCCATTTTGGCCACCTCAAAAGCCTTGTCACCATAGGTGGCGGCCAGATGCTGTGCCACCTAGGGATACAAAACTGTATTAGGTGGGTACTTCGAATATCAATAGTTTCTAGTAAAAAGCAAAAAAGGTACTTGTTTATCTTGTCAGTTTTTTATAGCCTGTAACCAATAAATCTAGGAGAATATTAGATTTTGATTTTGTGGGAGGAACCCACTTGGGCTCCGAATGCTCAGGCAGCACCAACTCTATTCCACATGGATCCCTGCATCAGTGACTGATGAAGCTCCAACTTCATTCTGCTCCCGATATCACTTCTGAAGAACAGCCTTCCTTATGCTCAAGATAGAAATAATTTGGGAGCTCTGTCTGCTAAGAACAAACCACACAGACCCCAGATTTTAAAATAGAAACTAAAATGTACATTGCTTTTTAGGCAACTAAAACAAAATATGATCTTTTTTTTTTTGGTTAGTTCACTTCCACAGTACGCAGACAGAAACAAACTGAGCAAAAGGAAACTCTAAATCAGGCAGGCCACATGGTTGCCGATTCCGTAACTGGAAACAGTGAGGTTAGGTAAAGAGTAAGATGATGTGGTAATGCACACCAACCTCACTTTCAAGTCCGTAATCCTGGACAAGCCGAATGTAGAGTGTGGGGCTCCAATCTTTGCCCCCTTGAAGGAAAAGCCCAACAGTTCTACTTGGTCCCGCTTTCAAATCATGGGTCTTGACGGCAGCATTTATGGTATCTTCTGCCATAGATCGGTAGGTTGTCCACTTTCCACCTACAAATAAATTGATAAATAATTCATTAGGTTACCATTCATTATTTTTCTTATAATTAACCATTTGTCAACTTATTAATAACAAAATTCACCTGTTGTTTATAACAAAGCAATGGTGTAAGACTTTACTCAGAATCATAAAATAAAATCCCTGTTCATTAGAGTTAAAAGAGATTCCAGTGTGACAATTTAACTCAGGCTCCTATCTAAAGCACACCCAAATAACAAGGTAACATCCCATACCTGCTATCGTGATGAGGCCGCTCTCACTGATGTCCACAACGTGATTTCGGGAGATGGACTGAGTATCTGCAGACTTGGGATCTGTCACAAGGGGACGAATACCGCTCCATGCTGCCAGGACATCCCCTCTTCTCACTATGAGGGATCAATGCCAAGGGTTAAGAGGATTACTCAAAGACATCTCAACAAAACTATGAAATAGTTACTAAGCAGGAAAGAGTTCACTAAAAAGAACACAGGAGTATGCACTTTAAAAGGGGAGAAAAGAACCCTTAAATATAAGCACTAAATGAGTAGATAAGTACAAGAAAAACTCATGAAGAATTATTTTGTGACAAAGATAATCTCCATTAAAAAAAGCAAAAAACTTGAAAATCACTGAAACCAGTACCAAAGAGGAAACAAAAGAAACAAATGTCAGCAACCTGGGACAATCTGGAATCGTTAAAAAGAACAATGACAAAGCAGAACCAAAACAAAAACAAACCAGTAGACTTATGACTTATTACATTTCCTCCTAGAATATATTTTGCTATCTCTTCTCTTATTAAACACACAAGATATAACAGGATATTCTCCCTCCTCATCAACGCCAGCCTCTCAACAGCAGGCCTTGCCTTCCCAAAGCACTTGCCATACATATTTCACCTCATTTAATCTCACAAAGCCCCAGAGCATATTATTATTCTCACCATACAGATGAGATTGGAGAAGTTTAACCAACTCTTCCAAAGAAAACATCTTATAAATGGTAGAGCAGTATCAGAACCCAGTTCTTTCTGACTTTCAAAGTCCATATTCTTACTCACTAAATTGTATTGTCTCTCAACTGTTGACAATTTCCATACTCTGTTCTTTTTCTTTTCTCATCCCATTATCTTTATGATCACCGTAAAAAAATAGGTACACAACACTTATGTTATAGAGTATGGAAGTTCTTTGAATATTCAAGATACCATGAAATTTTCCTTACTATCACTGACACAATACAATTACCCCCCATACCAAAAATTGAAGAAGTTTATAATAGAATTAGACAGCTGTTGCAGAGCACTCATTACTGGCCTAAAAATGGCTAAACAGAGTAGCCTAGTTGTGGTTCCAGTGTACTATTAGCATCAAAGGCAAGACTCATGGGCAGAGCTTTCAGAATCTACTCTTTTTTCATCCAGATCAGCTTCAGGGAAGGCTTAGCTCTTTTCCTCTTCACTCTCCACATCAAGTTGCTGACCATGTGCACTAGTCCAATAGCTACCTAACGATGTAGACTGTGGGGAAGGTGAATGCTTACATAGTCTTGTTGCACTTACTTTGGTAAACCAGTTAATCCATCCATGGATAATAAAGAAGTAAGTGCAATTTGGTGTCAGCCATGACTTGGGTCATGTGTACCCCCTTTCTCCATCTTACTCCCACCATTACCCACATTGATGAAAAACTGACTGTATATAATCTTGAAAATATCAAGACAATGGGGATAACTGGACATCTACACGCAAAAGAATGAAGTTAGACACTTACCTTTCACCATATACAAAAATCAACTCAAAATGGATGAAAAATCTATACATAAGACCTAAAACTATAAAACTTTTAGAAGGAAATAAAGAAGAAAAGCTTCAAGACATTGGATTTGGCAAAGATTTCTTGGCTATGACACCAAAAGCACAGGCTATAAAAGATACAACAGACTTCTTCAAAATTAAAAACTTTTGTACATCAAAGACATTATCAACAGAATGAAAAGACAACCAATGCAATGGGAGAAAATATTTGCAAATCATATATCTGATAAGGGGTTAATATCCAGAATATATAAGAACTCCTAAAACTCAATAACTAAAAAAGACAAAAAACCCAACTGAAAAATAGGCAAAGAATTTGAATAGATACTTCTCCAAAGAAGATATACAAATGGCCAATAAGCACATAAAAAGATGCTCAATATCACTGATAATTAGGGAAATGCAAATTAAAACCACAATGAGATACTTTATACCCATTAGGATGGATATTACAAAAAATTTAAAAACAGAAAATACCAATTGTTGATGAGCATATGGAGATATTGGGATATCTTTGTGCATTGTTGATGAGAAGGTAAAATGGTGCAGCCACTGTGGATAACTATACGGCAGTTCCTCAAAAAATTACACAGAATCGTAATTCTGATCTAGTATGATCAGTAATTCCACTTCTGGTACATACCCAAAAGAACTAAAAGCAAGGAAAATTTGTACACCCCTATGTTCACAGCATCATCATTCATAATAGCCAAAAGGTGGAAGCAACCCAAGCGTCCACCAAGAGATGAATGGATAAACAAAATGTGGTATATATATAAAACGAAATATTATTCAGTCTTAAAAAGTAAGGAAATTCTGACACACGCTACAACATGGATGAACCTTGAAGACATGCTAAGTGAAATAAGCCAGTCACAAAAGGACAAATATTGCATGATTCCATTTATATGAGATACCTAGAGTAGTCAAATTCATAGAGACAGAAAGCAGAATGGTGGTTGCCAGGGGGTGTGGGGAGGGGGGAATGGGGAGTTAGTGTTTAACGAATACAGAGTTGGGAAAGATGAAAAAATTCTGAAGATGGATGGTGGTGATAGTTGCACAAAAATGTGAATATATTTAATGCCACAGAACTGTATACTTAAAAATGGTAAAAATGATAAATTTTATATTATTTATAATTTAAAAAACCAAGACAAAAGGAAAAATTGACATAATTCAAGTCTCAGAAGATTAAGGAAATATTTTACATATTTTACAGAAGTATCAGGGCCTCTGCAAGCCCATATCATGCCCACACCTCAAACTAAAATACCTCATTCAGGGGAGCACAGTTTTGTGACGAGAGGGCACTCTGGATTTCAGATCTCACTCACCCCTCGGTCGTGTGCCCTTGTACAGTGAACCTCCTATATATTTATACACAGCAACCCCTGGAAAGTACTTAGATATACATCTAGCAGACTCTGTGTAAAGAGTCACAGAGACTTGTTGAAATGGTTGGAACAGTACCAAAGAAAAAAAAGGGCCTGACCAAGTATAGGGAAAAGACCCTAAAAGCAAGTTATATTGGATGACAGATAATCCCTCCATCTTGATCTCAAATTAAAAATAGATTTCTGGTAAGGATAAAGTCAACTAAGGTAAACCTGGCATATTTTAACATAGCTCCTTAAGGGCCACACTCTTAGCATGACTATAGTCTGAAAGAAGAGATTCCCACATACTGCTGCAGGAATGTTTAATCAAACCCATATCCAGACACTGTATCTGAAACAAAGCAGGAAGAACCATAATAAACTGGTGAGGAAAGCCTAAGGCTTATCGTCCTGTCAACCGGAGACCACAAGGGAGTCTCAATGCTGGGACTCCATTCCTAGATCTGCCCCTCTGATGTGTGCATTCTCTCAAATAGGTTTAATCCTGATGGCTTCCATGGGATGGGGGTTAATTCTTGCTTCACATAATTCCACAAAAGTCTTGCACAACCTCAACACAAATCGTGCAATGTTTTAATCTTCACAAAAAGCCTAACTAGAAAATTACCACTATTTTCCATTAGAGTTCAAATAGCCCTCTGTGTCAAAAATAAAACTAAGCCAACCACTTAGAACGTCACTGTGGTCACCACAAAGTCTGCCGAGTGTATCTGTGAAATTCCTTAGGTGGCCACGCTAATCAGGAATTTGGTTTCAACTCTTAAAACTCTCTGACTAATTTTTTAAATTATTTGATGGAAAATTAGACTTTCTAGAGTAAATTTGAAGCATATGCAAATAATCTTTGTGGCAAATTCTTTACTTTTTCCGGTACAACAGGCAGAAAAATAAATCTGTGAAATTGTATCATCTGAAACAAAAACACCGAACTAAAACTTTCGAGTTTCTCCTTCATAAAGAACAATAAATCAAACTTTATGTATACTGATACCATTTTTAATCCTTACTCTTAAAATTGGGTACTCAAAAAGAGAAAAGAAAACACTACAAGGAAGAGTTCATAATGTGTTAGGAACTTTGTTTTGCTTGATAACTTAGCATTCAGCTTTTTAGCCTGAGAATTATCTCAGATGATTGTTGGGATTAAATTCATTTTAAAAGATACATTTAAGGATAATCAAATTTTAAATCATATTTAAAATATGAGTCAATCTTTACAGCCTGCAGGATTTTTATATTATTGGGTGGTTTGAATCAGGTGATCTATCAGTTTTCTTCCAACCTTGAGATTTAATAATTTTTATGGATTATTCAAAATGCTATTTGCTGCTGAAGAATCAAGTGCCTGTACCTCTCCACTACTCAAATTAAGTAACAACCGGTGAGGGCGACAGGTAGAATCTATGTCCATAGGGCACAGCATAGCCAAATACATGAAACAAGAATTCTAACCTCTTGTATAAAAGACGGCAACTAACTGAACTAACAGGTTTGGCTCCTTAGCACCTCTTCACCCACCGTGGAAACCTTGTACACTGTTCAACAAAGCCAATTAAAGTTCTCTGAAGAGAGAGTTCAAAAGCAGTAGACAGCATAGAGAATCTGTTACTAATGCCTGGAACTGCTGCAGCCATATTGTAACCACAGGGGAAACAACGCCAGGATGAAGCATTGTTTCCCGTGTGGTTACAACTTGGAGAGTGGTAGAGTGAAGAGAAATAAGGGCCATGTGCTTTAGACATTGCTGAATCACTAAACTAACCACCTCTTGAGTCTTCCCATATCTAGAGCTCTTGTTTTACAAGATGATACATTTCTTTATTTTATATAACAAAAAAATACAAATTCAATGACGCTAATAAATTGAGTATTCCCTTCTCTAATGATATATATAAATACCCCTAGATTCTGTAGGGCAGCACTGTTCCACAAACTTTTCTGCAGTGATGGAAACGTTCTATGTCTACACTGTCCAATTCTCTGGCCACTAGCTGCATGAGGCCATTAAGCACTGGAAATATGGTTCATGTGACTGAGGAACTGAATTTCAAATTTTATTTAATTTTAACTAATTTAAATAGCCACATGATATGCACATGCACAGGCTGTGATATTGCACAAGGCAGTTCTAGAGTAAAAGCCCCCAAGTAGTAGATCTCGGATTTGTTGT